TAACGTACGCCGCGCGCGCGCGCGCGCGCGCGACATCTGCGTTACGCGACGATTTTTTGGCAGATAATTTGCCTACAGTATTGCAATTTAAACCGTAATCGGTAAAAATGATTGTTAGTTTCGAAACAACCGAGTTATCGTCAATTTTCTGTTTCTTACTCCAATATTTTGATTTCAAATTTTTTCTTAACACAAGATCATCATATTTCTCTTCTATTGCATCTAGACGAATAAATAACGCATATAACGTTTTGCAATTTTAATTGAATCCTCAATGGCGTCGCATCACAATCAACGAAGAATTTACTGTGGGAATGCACTTTTGTAAATAAAACATGTTCTTGCACAGTAATTCCTTCGTGCGTAAAGCTTTCGAGATATTGAAGTGGTTATCGAAATAATAAAGTAAAGTAAAATAAGAAATTTCCTTTTTTCAATACTTTTACACGACGCGGATATATCGGAGGATCAAATGGTGTTTTCGCGATAAACTTAGAAGATTCACGGTGAGTCATAGCCGCTTTAGCGTTAAGCGTGTCTGACCGAAAGCTGCACCGCGGCTGCGAATACATTTGAAAAAACGTTATCATCACGTTGCGAATGCGTGTCAACCACCGTCATCGGCTCAAGGCACACTCGCCGTGTGGCAAACCGAAGAAAATTGGCACGCGCCGCGCACGCGGTATGCGCGTTTCGCTCTACACGGAAGTACAAGATATTTACATCTTTAGATAAATTAATGACGTAAAGACACGGAGACAGAGAAAGAGAGCGAAAGCTATGTAAAAGAGATATAATGAGAGATAAGGAGACGTTATTTTCTATTCGCTGAAGCGTCGGCACGGCTGGAAAACGATGTCGTGCGTCACGTAAATCTTTACGCTCGATATCAGCATCAAGACCGGGCAAAATGTGTTCGCGAATTGCGAATAACGATGCAAATGTGTATCAGCGTATATAAAATATGAACTTTTCAAACACGCCGATACATTTCGCTCGATACTGATGCATTGATCGCACACGCGGTTCGCGTGAGAGTTGCACGAAGCATGCAGATTTATTTCACACATATTCGTACAAGAAGATAAAAAAATGGAATACCCAGACAGTTCGCTTGTTCTCAAGCTGCATGTGTATCAGCTTGCCTATCGATAGGCGGACCACATCAATTACATGCAATTTTAACGCAACTTTGCGTGAAAACAAAAAACTATTCGCATTTCCGGATGCTGTTTCGAGTGGATTTGAGGTTACAGTTCAATATTTCGTATAATTAAAATTTTTCTAATTTTAAAATTTGAATTTTTTACGATATATGTAGTTTTGTGATAAGAGAAAGAAGATACGAAATTTTTCCAGCTTTAAGAAATAATTTCTAAAAAAAAAGTATTTAGATAAATACGAGGGAAGTTGTTAAAACTGAAAAGAAATTTTTTTTCTCCTATTGTTGTGCGTTTAGAAATAGGGTACAATTAAATGTACACTTCATCTTCACTGTATCTTTTTTCATCGTTATCAATGGAAATTGTAAAAAGATAACTGTTGTAAATATAAATGATAAACAGAGATCGTATCGCGCTCAGAAAAAATTAATCACTGTTTGTTTATATCGTTTGTCAAGATCTTAAGTATGATTGAAACTATAAATTGATAACAGCGCACCTAATTGAAATTAATCGACACTGTACTATTGTAGCAATCAAAGGATTTCGATAGGATAATTCTTTTTCAAATTCTAATCATTAAGCTGTTGACAGTTATATAATTTAATCTGTATTTTAAACATACTTCTCTATATTTTTATCTATCAACATTACTCTGGATGTATTTGCTCATCTACAAAGAAATTTACAATATTTTGCAGATAAGTATCATTATTATACACACCTTTCAGATACAAACGCGCGAAAATATGATAAGCGGTCACGTTGAATTTCTTAAAAATACTTTATATGCTTCTCGCATATGATTGCTCAAGTATGCAGTTCGCGATTTGAAGACAGAAAATGCAAGATATTTTTCGAGACAAGTTAATCGGAACGAAGTTCAATAGATATCATAGAATGCTCTTTTTCTCATATTTATTTTTTTTGTTTAAGATAATTACTATTATTAATCGTTACATGTGCTTCTGTTGGATGTAAATAATTTGACTCGTCATTCATTGAAAATAACAGAATTAGAGTTGTGTAAAACGCGAAAACACACCAAGGTAACGCGGCGGTAAGAACTTGTTTTGTACCAAGTGTAAAGAACAATTGAGTGTCATCAGCATTGTCTTTATACACCGAAAAAAAAAAGAATTTGCTATCGCAGCGAAATCGTCGTTGCTATTGCATATTAGACGTGAAAACGATAAAATTTCGCTGCCATAATTAATTTTTCAAATTGCTTCATATATCAGCAAAATCTGTTTCGTCGGCAGAATACATAAATTTTGGCGTGCATATTTGTTCGTAAAAAGACACATTAATTTGCTACCAAAACAAAATTAATTTATTTCTATCAAATGCATTTTGCTATTGTAGCGAAATTGTCGTTGCTAAGCGACAAATTTTGGCAAAAAAAAAAATCAATTTGTTATAACAGCGATTTGATGATTTAGCAAAATTATTTTCAGCAAATGAAGTTAATATCTGTAATAAATCTCTTTGCTGTTCATATAATAATTAATAAGATAGTTTGTTATGACAGCGTAAAATTTGCCAGCAAATTCTTTTTTTCCATGTAGTAACAGATTTAGATATATTACTTAACATTCTTGTTATAGTAATTTTTTGTGCCCTATCAATCCTATTTTTTAGTAATCATTTATAATTTTTATCTTATCGCCTTTATAGTGTATCATAATGGAGTGCTTGAACCGTCTATAGATTTAATTTCGGGCATTGATGATGGTACGAGAGTTGGGAATAATACGAATTGAAAAGTCCAATCAATATATTGTAAATTAAAAGTTAATTATTAATCTATATACATATATGTTGAAATCATTTGAGCATAAACACGATGGAAAATAACACTAGTTTACAAAAAAAAATTTTTTTTAATTGTTTTGAATCTGACAAGGTGTTTCTTATAGATTTTTGGATGCTGAAAACGATGCCGCAAACCAAATTTCACCAGCACGTCAGATTTCCTAAATAATTAAGGTTTAATATGTAAAAAATGGGTTTTTTTTTTTTGCGATATTTGATATTTTTTTGTAAGAAAGGTTAACGTTATCTTGAAATTCTGATCAGAAATCATGAATGTATTATTCATCCCCTATAAAATGCATTTTTTTTTATTTCGATATCTTACTCATCGTTTTCAGCATCCAAAAATCTATAAGAAACACCTTGTTTGGTTCAAAATAATTTTTGGCTGTAAATTAGAGTAATATAAAAAATAACAGTACATTCTCACTTGACTTGTGATGAGGTCTTTAAATTTCGTTGAGTCGTAACACGTGCTCCTATTGTTCGCTCGTATTACGAGACATAAAGTTAAATAGCATTTTGTAAAATCGACGTTTTAAATCAAATGTTGGATGTGTGGCAGCGCCATTAGAATAACGAAAGGTGGGCATTCCATTTGTGTAGTAGTTAAATCCAGATCTTTCGTAAGCAAGATCAGAAATAACCGCCGGCGAGAACGATATGCCGCATATGTCGGCTATGTTCGCCATATATATTGAGCTTAATGCAAACAGTAAATAAGCGCGAAAAACTAACAGCAATGTGTAAAATATTTTGCAATTTTCAAACTATTAAGTCACACCAAATTTCACTGAATTGCCTATTAAATTGTTATACAATGAATAAATCGTAAAATCTGTCAAATAATCGAACGATTCTTTGTTCAATTATTAAGCTTACACTGTGCAAAAATCAAGAGTACAATTCTAATTTTTTTCGTAATAATATAATCAATCTTCTGGGGATTGCAGTTGTACGAAAAATTTTAGTGCGTGTAGGAGAGCTTTAACAGTCTCACCTGTTCTTTCATGCTATTTTCTATATCTCCGCTTGCAATGTTATCTCTCATCTTTTTTCCAATCAAGATTTGCATATAGTCTCACTTTCAACATGAAAAGTGAAAGCGCAGTCAAGATCAGATTTATTATTTGTTAGACAAATGGCCGAAGACGATTAATTCATCAATTTGTGTCTCACGGTACTATTTTTACGCGGGCCACTTGTAGATATTGTCATACTAACATTAATATGACGCTACGTCGAACGATGAGTAAGCCGAATAAAAACGCGATCAGGGTGTGAATGCGTAACCGATGTCCTTTTACCACCAACCACCTAACCTAAGCAACCTAAGCAACCGAACGTTCATCATCATGTAACGGACAATTGACAGATCGACCTGAGACACCCACCTTAACGCTCGACTGTCGTCCTTTATTTTGTTTTCGTATGACAATACGAATGAGGGTACGTTGTCGGTGATTTCCAGATAACCGACTAAACGACTTAAACTTGACTCAATCAAGCACTATATGCGCCTCACTGTGTGTACCGGCAAACGACGATGGCGACAACGACGGTGCCGGTTAGTATCTTCAACGAGAAACGTTCTTTCTGGCAAGTGTCAACTGGCGCCCTCCTTCGCCAACTCTGCAAGTAATTCAGCCGAATCGATTGCTCGGAGTAGGTTGTCAATTAAGAACGGAGAAAGTCTCTTTTTTCAGGCTTTTGCCGTTTAATCATTCATTGACTTATTGTAAACCCTTAAAATTGTCAAGATACATCTGAAAGGCACTGCGAGTAAAAAAAAGCCTGTGAAGATTGAAAAAAAGGACACATACTGATTACATAACTAATCTTTCATTTCTCGAATAAAGAAAATGAGATAATTTGATAATTAATCGTCACAGACAAAACAAATATTTAGGTGTAAAGTAACGTATTCAAGTCTCAAGCTTGCATGGCTTGCATCGACCGACAGAATTGAATGACATGATTGAAAATAATTTTATTCTCAGAATCACCTGATACTCTATAAATTTCTCCGAAATAAACAGATAAAATGCTATATTAGAGTATCGATCGTATGAGAGTATTGTTGGCATGAAAGAACGAGCTAGATGAACGCATTTTACAGGAGTGGAAACAATCGTGTTTCGGTGAATGAGAAATTGCATCACGGTATGCATCATATGCCAGATGTAGTACGTCTATGTTCATAAGATGTGGACATTTTCGATGGCCGTAAGTTTCGCCTTTTCGTATAGGAGAAAAAAAAATCACGCATGGAGATTACGAATATAAATAAACCGGCCGCACAAATTGGCGGTTCTCCGCAGAATTTCGTCAGGAGCGCCGTGTGTCCCGTCACAATCGCAGAACCCTCGGGGCTGAATCACAAGCTCGACCGAGCAGACGGCAGTGGAGATTCGCGCGCGACGATCCAGTAGGAAATGGCCGCCGTTTTAAGGAGAAAATTTCGAGCCGTGCCGAACACGTTTGCCGGCAACAGGAATCTGCCGTTGCTCGTCGCCGCACGGTATGTGCAAAACGGTTTTACAGTTACGAAACGGATAATCAGATTGTGTGTTTTCGTAGATCCTTGACAAGATCATCAGTCCAAAGAGACATCAGTGAGGGATGGATAAGCAAGCTCTTGGTGAGGAAAATCGAGCCTACGAAAGAGTCGCACTCACGAATGCTCTCCGATAAGGAGGTCATTTACGCGCTGCATACTCATAACATTCGGCCAGACTCGATTGACAAATATTTGGCCAACTAGTAAGTCGACATATTTTTGACTTTGAGTGCATGATTGTCTGATCTATAAGCCCGATGTAATCCGTGAATTAATTCGTGAAAAGTCATGTACAATATTTCTTTTATTTATACATAAATTATTCGGTTTAATGAGTTATTAAACATTTACGTAACATTTGCTTTTCTATATTATTACAGCGAGGAAAATGTCAATCTTATACATTCAAAAAAATCAGAATTAAATTGTGAATTAGTTGGCTCATGGACAGTAGAAGTGGGAGATTTGGATCAGGCCATACATTTATGGCAATACACAGGTGGATTTGAACGTATAGATTATGCGCAAACTGTGTTTTCCAAAGATGAGGTATAAAATATTTTGCTTGTTTAAACAAGACATAAAAACAGTATATCTATGTACTCGTGATTATATTAATGATTTTTCTCTTGTATTCTTCAGGCTTACCAGCGACTACTCAAGGAAAGAGGGAATTACTTAAGATCACGTCATTTGCAGTATCTGTTGGCGTTCAGTTACTGGCCACCGTTGGAGAAACGAAAAGGCTCAAACAAATATGAAATACGCAGTTATAGTTTAAAACCAGGTACAATGATAGAATGGGGAAACAATTGGGCCAAAGCTATTAATTATAGACGCAACAATGATGAACCATTTGCTGGTTACTTTTCGCAAATTGGTAGACTGTACAATGTTCACCATATTTGGTGTAAGTTAAAAACTCTTTGTACTTACTATTACATTATATTACATTATCTCTCTGTACTTAATGTTACATTATCTTCTATATGTCACTTGTCCATTTTTGTACTTATTGACTATGTTGATCTTCATTTTTAGGTTATAAGGATCTTCAATCACGTAAGGAAACACGCGAAAGTGCGTGGAGATCACCAGGTTGGGATGAATGTGTCGCTTATACCGTACCGTTAATAAGGGAAATGCATTCGCGTATATTAAGTCCGACTTCGTTTTCGCCTACAAAATAAGGTTTTATGTGTACGGATGAAAATGCATTTGTATATTACTGGTATATATGCATACGTATGTGTACATACGCACACGCATATCGTGTGCACACTAAGTGTGTGCGTGTGTGCGCGAATATTGTAATATTGTAAAAATATTTGTTATATGTATACACTGTAGATTTAACTGTATAAACTGTACGCGCAATATGAGAAGAGTTACAAGTCTTTGTTGTATTACAACTGGCAGGATGTAGTTTGTTACTATTTGATTATACGCGTTGCAGTGTATATACTTTATGTTTTTTATCAATGTGTCAGTTGAAGCACAACATATATATGTATAGAAGAATATAAAGAAATCTTTATACTTCTGCATTTGTTCTTTATTCATCCATTAGCTTGTCGAGAAGGTAATAATTTTGGATTATTCCACGAGAAAATACTAGTTTTACATGTGTGATTTTACTCATGCCTTCCTATTTGCATACTTGTTCTGCTTTTATCTGTCGTGTTTGATGTACATTACAAACGAAATGAAACAATACTATGAACTTTTAATCATATTGTCATATAGAGTAAAAGAAATAGTATATTCGAATGTATTACGTTGATTAAATGTACAATTTAAATGATATATTATTTGGAAGGATCAGCAAATGGATAAAAATTCATTCATAGTTTAACACTTATCGTCTTTATTATCTTATCAATGCATTGGATTAAACAGCCTTAGTTGTCTTCTTTAAGCTTTAATTCAAATAATTAATTTGCGATGCAGGCAGCATTTTACATACATTTTTTCCACTGTCACTGTTTTAATTACAAAATGCCTATATATTATTTAAATTTAAAAATAAAACTAGATCATATAATTATCAAGAATGGTTATGATTTTTCGCATTACGTACGTTACATTTCACGATTAATTATTTCCTAGAAAGATATACTGATATCTATCTCAATAAAATTTTATATTTTATATCGTATTTATATAATGACGATAATAATAATAACAAAATAATATTTATCGAGAATATTTATCTATTGTATGTTATTATATCTCATACAAAATAGTTGTATGAGAATATATTGACTACAGATGTTAGTTAACTCTTTCGGGCAACTACCCTCAATTCGATGTAAAACACTTCAGCATTGCCACGGAAAAGTCTAAATAAAATTATTTTCTTCAAACTTCTTGCAACAAATGAAAAATTAGGACTAATATGTAATATTACTTTAGTTGCAAGAATTTGCATGAGTTAATATTTTAATATTGAGCTATATACATTACAAATCGAATAAGGAATAAATGTTGTAAATTCCAATGTTGACTTTGTTTAAAAATTATTGCCTCAATATTCATACTATTTAGTATGCATGTATATACATCAGATATGAACTTCATCTTACTATCAAAATTTGGTTCAAGGTGTTTGGTAGTGTTTGTGAAGAGTTTGTTCTTATTTGAGAACAAAAGAAATTAAAATTCAATTGCCGAGAAGTATACAATATACAAAGCTTTTACAGATTACTGAAAAGATAAAATTTCTTCTAGAAATAAATTCATTTCCAAATTCCATTGGAGAGAATAGATCTAATGTAATCTTATACATTGTATTATGCACCTTGCATTATGCATCTCTTGATTTTACAATGCTGATGCGTTTTTAAAATAATTGTTTCGTGTAAATTCATGCTGTAATAAATATATCTTCCGTAATTCTACATACATAGAATGACGTGCTAGAAAAGTCGTATAAATCTGTAGTAGCGATCGGTAATAATCGAAAATAGAAAGTACCTTCAGAAATCAAACGCTTATCAAAGACAATTTAATCGGTTTACATGTAGTTCATTATTGAATTTGCGACAATTTCTACATTTTGCTGAAAATTGAAACCACTTTTGCTGTAAATCTACTATACGCAAATGTTCATGTTGAAAAATAATAATCTTCTAAATGAATCTCTATCATTTCAATTAATGCAAGATAAATAATCATTCATTATAATACATTGTATGTTATTAATGAGGCGTTTTATGAGAACTGCGATGCATTTTAATAATCCACAGAATTTGGCACACACAATTGTTAAACATAATATTTACATAAATAAAATTATTTTATGATCTTATTAAAATAAAACAACCATGGAATTTTATTTGTTTTTAGAAACCAATTATAAAATGCACTGCGTGCACGTGCCTTCTGTTTTACAATGACACACATATTTTCTTCTTGAGAAAATTAACATTATTAAAATCAATAATGACATAAGTGGTTGTTGAACTTTTATTTCACTATCTTCAAAAGATATCAATTTCTTTTTTTTTTTTGTGTTTTATAAAATATACGTGTATGCTTGCTTTTTGCTTTACAAAATTACAGTTTTATAGCATCCTGTATATATTCTCTATTTGATGATCGATCTGAAGCATTTTCTACTTTCCACGGTATTTACTAATGATACTTTTTTAATCTGCAAACATGACTATGCTACTCTTGTTACTCTGCATATTTCAGATAGCATGTACTACAGCAAAAACAAGGCTGTTGAAAATAAAAGTTGTCATTATCTAATTAAAGCCAAAAACTGTATTGAAGTATATATATATATATATATATATATATATATATATACTTCAATACAGTATACAATATACTTCAATACAATACAGAAGTGTATATATATATAGTTATATTCACTTCGGTATTTTGATGTATACAGAAACAATAATCCTTGTCATTGGTCGATAATGTAAAGAAGACATAATTATACAAATTGTTCGGAATCGCAATTATTACAGCAATTTCAAAAATATTGCGTATGTATCCGACGAATTGTCACTGCGCTTCTCTGTCTGCGAAGTGTACCGTAAAATACAAATCATCAACATTACAAAATCACACCTTAAATGGAAGTAAGTGAAGAGAACGAGCTTTCCTAAATAATAAAAAAACCTCGATTTAATAACATGGTATTTGATATGCTACGCCTATAATTAATTGTCTAGCTTATCAGTTATCACATTCCAAATTTAACTGACAAGGTTAGCCACTTTTTGGAAAATGTTATAAATCTTTCTGTGTACTAAATACTAGATGTTACAATCCAAATTCGGTATCGCGGTCCTATGTAAAGCGAATAAATATGTACAAAATGCTAGCAACATCGACAATCAATTTTCTAAATTGGGTATTCAGCAAGTTATAGTGATTACACAGACTATGGTCGAGAATTATTTTTTTTTTTTGTGTTACATATACATACAATTTAACTCAGAGACAACTCGTGCTTTATAATTAAAAGTGCGCCTAAAACTTAACAATCGTTTTATACAGAAGTCTTTCTAATGATGATAGGTTTAAAATCTAAAACTTTAATAATCGCAATTTTCAATTAATCATCCGTCGCAAGTGAAAGACTTATTACGTTAACATATTAAATTAATTTAACAGCTTTCCCGAACCGCACATCTTGCACAATTTGGAATCCAGTTTGTCAGCACGAACAATCTCTGTCTAGTTTGTTATATTCGAAATTAGTTTTTGTAATTGCGACTTCTAAATAAAGAACGATCTACGGAAGAATTTAAATACATCTTCATACATATGGGTGCCGTTTTCTTACTGTCTTTTTTTTATTTTCATACTTAATGAGTTGTTGCATTCAATTACTATGTATAACATGTGTCTATATTTACATGTTGTACAGCTATCATGGGAAACGCTTAAGTTGATTGTGACAGTTTTCCATCGTACAGTTTAGAACATATAACCATGATAACAATTGTATTGTTTGTATTTCACTATAATCACACTCGTACCGTTATAATTGAACACACTTTTAGATATTCGTTCGATGCATGCTACCTAGTCACTTAATGATTTCAACTTTTACATCAGATGTTGTCTCCATAAAGAACTTCACACACACGCACGCACACGCGCTCACGCGTGTTTTATATATATTTATATATAATAAAAGTAGGAATGTGTGTGCTATACTGCCATTGATAATGCAAATGACAAAATGTAAACTACGCAATGTTGCTACGCTATACGCGTTTAAAGCTCTTGCATTTTTTTTATTTTTTTTTAAACGCATAAATTATATAGACAAAAAGAATCTATAAACTTACGAAGTAAAATGCAATATTTTTGGTCATGCCCTTTCGATCTCAAAATTTCTCAAAATTATTTTCATTTCTTCTAAATCCAAAGAAATATTATTTTAATTTATGAAGAATCTCAAACCATAAGCGTAAAATAAAATTACAAAACATTAGCTTTATAACATACGCATTAATTAATACAGTACAAACATTTGATTGGCATTCATTGATATTTCCTCAATTACCACTTACAAGTATTTCATGGTGACATGTTTTACTGCTCTCGATATATAAAAAAAAAATTAGATTATATCTCGTTGAATTATAAAAATGTACATTTTATATGACAAAAATGAAATGCTTTATCTATCAAACTTATTTTATCTAGAAATCCAAAAGTAAATGGACCGTACGCATCGTTAAGTATTTAAATACATAATAATAGCACCTCTCCTTAAGAGTGTTATAATTAATGGAAACACACTTTCTCAATTCTTGATTTTAATACGAAACGACACTTGTTTTCATCAATTTCATAGAAATATATTATTACGTACTAATATTATTACGAACGTGTTATTGGGAGGAACAACAGTCACAATCATTTGGATTTCAGTTTTATATGTATAATGGCTTTTATGACATATAAAACAAAAGTACATGAGAAAAGAAATAAATCGAAAAAAAAAACAAAACATATATTTTCATATAAAAGTACAACATTGGGATGTGTACTGGATGAAATTTTAAATATTTTCAGAATGTATGACACAATATAAATATACTGAAGCGATGCAATTCAAACTTTTATGAAGAAAATGGAGAGATAAACGTTTTTTCAACGTTTATTCCAAATTTTCATGAAATGCAAATAATCGATACAGTTAAAGCAATACGAAGAGTGAATAATTTTGATTTGATGTACGAAATAAAGATAAATTATTGTGAACATAAAAATACGTAGAGCATTTAGTACTAGTAGATAATATCAATGTCTTACATTTAAGGTGTTCGTATCATGATTAATATCTGTTATTTTTTTCTTCATCAATTATAATATCTAATATAATTAAAAATTTCGGTGGTTTAATGAGTATATGAATAAAGACAGAAATAAGAAGAAAAAGTTATAAATGATATTAAATAACAATTAGTTTTATAATTGAGAATAAATTTACTTAATGTGTAAAACATATTTGGATTAATAACATAATGTTTTCGTTATTAAGAATATTACATCGTAAATAAGTT